ATATATATGGAGGAATAATTATGACCGACGGATGCCTGTATACTCCTTGTAGCATCCAACAAAAAGAGACCAGAAAAGGCTGTTTAGCTTTCCAACTGTCAATCAGCAGGCGTGAAGCATAATATACTACACTCTTTATAGGCCGGCGAAGGCTGTCTTCTTCCTCCTAACAGAACTAACGACTGAATCAAGTCACCCAGTCTTCCCACTTCAAAACCCCTTTCCATTTATTTCAAAATTTGAACACGAGACCCTTAAATTAGAGAAAAAGTAGACATGGAGTCCAATCATATTGGTTTGAATACAATCACTGCTAAAATTTTCAGACCAGATTACAGTACAAAAAAGAAAAAGGGTATAATCACTAGAGTAACAGGAAGGAATTACGCAAAATTATTACACTGTACAGTGTTCGCCACACCCCTGACTTATTCTTATACACATACATATATGAAGAGACGAATAAAAATCATATCAATATGCCAAATGCATGTGGGAATTATCAAATTCACTTACATTAACATAATTCCTAATCTTCCTACGGATATAGAATGGTGTAATATAACACCACTGCGTGCCTCTAATTAGACCTGCAAAATGGCACAATCCGATCTCTCATAGCTTATCTTTGGGTTAATAAACTCTTTCTTCTCAATGAAGCAAGATGTATGTTCCTCGCTCAAACCACACGGCAGATTTCACGAAACCCTTATAATATATGGTTGTAATCCTATGTAGTATGTTGGATCCTTGGTTGGTATGGAAATGGGAATTGGGGTTCATTCAGGGTTTGCTCCCGGATTTTCTTCCATTTACATGAAGCGGTCACCGCTGCTGTTTTCACCTGCATTACTTCTTTTCGAATTTAAGGTTGGTGCAATGCTCTTAACACTACTTAATTACCAAGACGACGAATTATTTTGCTTACCTTTTACGTTTGGTCTTCAAGGTTGCAGAAGTTGAGGGATTAGTGTGCCAGTTCCTCTTCCTTTGATTGATGAACCAATTGTTTATCTGTTTTAATTGCAATCCTGTTTCCTGGACCAATCTTGCTTTATCTTCCTCCTGATATTCACAGCAGAGTTAGAGAATCGACGTGATAAAATCTAGCAGGATGAAAGTGTGCAGAACTAAAGCTTACAGTAGGGTAAGGCCACTTGGCATGTGTCTGCCACCAAGCCTTTAAAACAGATGTTGTGTCGCCAGGAAGTTTCCCTGCCCTTCTCTTGCGCAAAATTTCCTCCCTGATGTCAACAATCTTTTCCTTGTAACCCTATATGGAAAAGCATGCAAGTTAGTAAATAAAATTTTGAAAACTTAAAACAAGATTGTGATATCCATAAATCAATCATTACCTGCTTCAGTTCATGCTTCAACTCTTGTCTCACTCGCTCCATCAAGGACCTTTCAGTTTCTGTGGGGATAAGAGGCCCAAATCCCATGCTGTCCGGACCATCAAGGCTTCCATCAAACAAGTTAGGATCGCTATCCACCTGGTCATCATCATCATCAGACATTGTTGCTCCTGTACCTTCACCTGGAGAAACACCTGTTCATGCATCACACCGAAAAATTTTAGTCATTAGCACTCTCACAGGTTACCTTTGATGTAAGAATCTCAAACCTATGCCATTTGATCATGCATGCTAAAATTTTCAAGGAAATTTTGGGCTTTAAGTTTTCAAAGAGCTTTAAGCTATTTTGAATATTTGATGAATTCAACATTAAGTTGTTAGTTTCTTGCCACATGAGACCCCCAATGGAGAAAAACATTGAAGAATCTTATGCGACCACTTTGATTTAGGAAGCAAAAGGGCATTAGCTGGGTTTGAGAAAATTGGATGAATCATCTGAACTGTTAGCAAAAATAAATTAAAAAAAAAAAACCCTTACCTGTTAAGCTTTGTAAGGATTGCTCAATTTCCCAGCAAGCCATCACTGCTTCCATTGCATGGACCCGGACATGTTGTTGCAATTGTTCTTTAAATGAACATAGAAGTAGAACATAATGCGTCTGCGTTACCAAAGTATACAAAAGATCAGTTTTCATTCTACCATAACTACAACTACTAATTTAATCGGAAATTCATATCCAACAGTCTAACACAGAGATTCTCTTCCCAGTGATGGCTGGACTGTCCATGATATTATCTTTATTGTGGTAAAGATCAAACAATATGGGCAGTAAACAAAAGCATCACATTACTTCTATTTTAATACACAGAGTCGAAGCTAGTACTCTGCTTTCACATATCATAGTTATCAATGTTTATTTCCTTAATCCCTAGGACTTTTAATCCATATTGGCTTGTGATCATAACAATATAGTACCACCAAACTTGATGCTCTCCTCATCTATATCTTGTTCCACTCTTCAATCTGTCTAATCAGATAAATCCACCATTTCCAAACATCTTCAAGTGGTGTGCAACAACTTTTCTTTGGTGACTATCTATCTTTCTGCAAATTCATGACTAAATTCAGACCTTTCTTTCTGTTACAACATGTATTCGACCATTCGACTGAAGTTTTCAAAAGTCTCTGCCTATACCGAAAAAACCATTTAAAGGTGATTCCCCTACACATGAAGTGAATATCAGAGAAAAGATCAAGAATATAGTAGGACCCTAACCTAAGCCTATCCCAGCCAATTTCCACAGATTCGTTACAAATATAACCATATTCGGCCTTCACCCAGCCAAAAAAAAAAGAAAAAAAAAAAGAGACTTAAAATAGTCAATTAAGGGTACCATCTGCTACCCATAATCTCAAATCAACCCAGCACAACAATTGTACTAAAAAATTGTTATGGCATCCGCCAAATTCAACATCAAAGGGCATGTTTCTTGCCAAACCAATCCAATCATTTCTTATCACGAAATTCCTTCTCCTTTACATTATTCACCAAATCAAACCAGAAAAAGAACTTCTCCGAAATCAAAACTCTACTTACAGCCACAAAATTCCGACCCAATTTGGTCGAAATTCATCCAAACAACACACCGCACTTAATTGCCAAAACAGATCCGTAGTAACAAATCAATCACAAAAAAAATAAAAACCAATCCTCCAACTTTCCCTCTTCTTTCCCCAATTCCCATAATAAATATACGAGTCGGTGCATCAACTCAATCCAGCTCCGAGAAGACACCATTAATATTCCCCCCAACTCTCCCCCCCAACAAATAACCGCCAACCAAACCATATCCTCCCCCCCTCCCATTTCAATTCCTACGATTCCCTCCGTCGTCCCAGAATAATAGACGTTTTTTATTTAGAATTTGTCTGTGGATATCAAAATCTCTAACATGTAAGAACGGGAACCCAAACTGGAAGGAAAATTCAGAGCGGCGTTCGGACATGGCTTTAAATGGATAATTTCGTGATTCTGTTATTTACAAATTTGCCACTACTTTAATAATTGAAATTTTCAGAAGAAAAGAAAAAATGAAATTTGGGTGAGGGAAGTAGGGAACATACCATGAATTGCTCCAGTTCCTTGTCATCGCCAACCAGGGATTGTGTCCCACCGCCGAGGGTGGAGTACTTGGCCACCACATGCTGCGACTGGGCGAGCTGGGCGTCGATCCTCGGAAGCTGATCCACTGGCGTGGCGATCCTCAGGCAAGCCACGTGTGCGGACAATAGCTGGTCGTACAAATGGTGCCCCAGTATCTCCGCCTTGAACCTAGCATTCTGCCAGTTTAGAGCTCCCTCTCCGGTCCCAGCTGCTCCGCTTTCCACCACGACGCCTTCGCTCTTGCTGTTGGTGTTCATGGTCTCGCTGTTGCTGTTCTTCAAATCGGCAGATTCGACGGCGATGATGGAGTCTCCAGCGGCGGCAGTGACGCCGTCCATGACGTCGCTGTGGTTGCGGTGGAGGATGGAGGAGGAGGAGCGGGAGAGCCACTGGTTGGGGCGCTGAGAGGCAGCGGTGTTGTCCGAGGGAGTGGTGGTGGTGGTGTGGAGGTTGAGGAAGTTGGGGTCGGAGAAGTGGGTGTGCGTTTGCGGTGGCTGAGGCTGTTGGGAGCGGAGCAACGCTGTGTTTAACCAATTGGGTGCAGTTGTTTCTGGAAGCTGCTGAGTCTGTTGCTGTTGGTTTGAGGGTTGTTGCTGGTCGGTGAAGTGGTGGAGCGGGAGGTCCTGCGACAGATGATTGTGGTGAAACGCCATGCTCAATATCTGAGAAGGAAATTAAGCAAGGACGACGATGATTAAGATGAGTTCATGGTGGAGCAAGAGTTTAAAAGAGAGAGAGAGAGAGAAGAAGCAGAAGAAGAAGCTGTAGAGATATCAAGTAAGAGAGAGGATTTGAAGTGGTGGTTTTCAGGTGATGAAAATTGCCAATTATGAATTGGTGGTGTTTCATGAGGGAGGTTGCTGGGGGACCATTTCACAGTATTATTAAGTTTTTTTTTTTTTTTAAATATATAAAATAATATATATTACAGATTAATTTTTTCTTTGAAAATTATGCTCCTAATGCTCTTTATTTTTTATTTTTTTTTTATTTTGAATTGTAAAATAAAAAATTATTTTTTTAATTTAATTTATTTATTTATTATGTAAATTTAAATTTAAAATATTTTATTTCCATTTAAAGGAACATTCCTCCTGAAACTACTTAAATAGTGGTTAAATTTGTCTCATTTAATTAAGTTTTAACTTCAGGTTTTTTATGGATTCAAAAAACCCACTTCAGGCCTTTAAGTTTAAATATATAATTTCTTGTTTGGCCAAGGTTTTTTTTTTTTTTTTTTCCTTTTTTTTTTGAACATTTTGATACGGGTGGGTTTTGAACCCGCCCAGGGGAAGGGGAATGCACCTAACAAGCTGGCTAATGTCAGT